ACATCACTCAGTTCAGGTTTGTACTGGTGCGGCTCTAATTCCACTACTCCCACAAAGTCTTCTGGTATTCCTTCTGATATTTCTGCCTGTCCTAGAAAGGCTTCTTTTTTTTCTTTTATTTTATTACTTAAAAGTCACTGGGTATTGGGTGTTGTTAGGGTGTTTCTGGAGCTGGAAGCCATGAAAGGTTTATATATTTGCATGTATCTCATATATCTATTTATCAGCTTTGCTAAATACCAGCAATTGGTTTTGCCTTAGTTTCCTTGATAAAAGACACATCAGTAAAGACTACAGAAACTAAATCTACCATAAAACATATAATTTTCTTTAACTTCTGCATTCAATTTAAAGAAGGTGTTTAAAATAAGAAAACTGAGTAGTGAGTAACAAAGGCAATTTGTTTCATTTCAACCATGAACTTGAAAGAAAACATTTTATTTGTTCTGGCTAACACACGTTATGCTGTAAATTATTAGAGCTGCAGGAGATGTGTTCGGTTCCTCCCACCCCAATGATTGTGGTTTTTGTTTTGAAGTTTGATATAGACCTGAAAAATAACATCTGTGAGGAATCTGGCTGGCAGAGAAATACAGCAACAGAATTGGACAAGGACAAAGTCTTGCTGTCATTATATTGACCAGACCGAGCCTAAAGCATTCATGGACTGTGTTCACTTTAAACTCCTCCAGTGCAATTTAAACTTGGCTCGCTACCAATCTGACACGAGGAACAAACTATAGAAAAGATCCCAGAGTGATTCAGCTTCTCTGTAAGAAATTCTGGGCCATGAGGTACAATCTTTTTTGTACCCTAACTTCTTCTAAAGCCATCAAATAAAGAACATGGGACACAATTTCATGCATGATGCATCTGCAGTATTTAATTTATTATTTTAATTATTTCAGCGAACTTGATAATGTTTTGCTTTCTTTTTAAAATTACTGGTTCAACATTATGTATTGAAATGTGTCTGATTTAAAAAAATATCTCATTGGATCAGAACTTGCAAAAATAGTTTTAATAACCCAGGTTGATTAAATAAAACATGCAATTTGACTTTCAATTTGCCTTCAGTTTGAAAATGTAACTATTTATTTTTCCTGTTAAATTTTTTTTCTGGCAAAAATATACTTGTAAATACGCAAAAGAGGAAGAAATGATTGGATTGATATTCTGACTATTAAGGGTTTATCAGACAGACAGCAGGGGAAAAGAAACTGTCTCTCTTTTGGGTGTTTTTTGCATGTAGTAATCTGTAGTTGCAACCTGAAGGTAAAGGTCTTAATAAGACATACCCAAAGTCCTACATGTTTTAGAGTGGGGAGAAGACAAGAGACTTACTTGACACCCCAGTAAGGTTATATCGGCATGGTTTCATGTTATAAATAAGAGCCAGATCAGAACAAAGCCTCAAATCATTTATAAATATATAATAAAACATCAGAAGTGTAGTTGACCCTTCGGCCATAGTGGTCAAACTGAACATTACCTGTTAGTCCCTGCAGCCGGACCTGCACACGGAGGGAGATAGGAACACACAGATAGAGATGATGCTCTCTATCTGTAGAGAATAAATTGATGCATCTGAGGGGCCTTCAGCTGGAGGAACATCAGTGTTCCTCTTTTGAAACACAAGCTTAGATCTTCTTTATTTGGAGGATCAGGCCTTTAATTTATACAGGGGATGTATGGAGTGGGGAAGCTGATGGATGAATGAGGTCAAAGGTCCAGGACTGACACATCTTCCTCAGATGATTGGTCAAAAATGTCTAATTGTAAAAAAAAAAAAAAATATATATATATATATATATATATTAGGGGTGGGTATTGGCAAAGAAGTCATGATTCGATTCGAATCACGATTCACATGCCACGATGTGATTTTATCACGATGCATCATGATATTGGAAATATTGCGATGCATCGCGATGCATTGCGGTATTTTCACTGAATACTAAGAAAAAGATACAGCCCTTACCAGTGGCTGACTGGCTTAGTATGATCTGGATAGTGTCTTCAATTGATACATAACTGAAAGCAACTGAATTCATACATAGCTGTATTTATTGAAATGACTTTTGGAGGTGTTGCCATGGAAACAAATACTGGACAGAAATATTACTATTACTGGCGTGGACACACTCACTAAAAGATCTTAGGATTCATCAAACTTAAAATAACAAAATAAGGATAATCAGTGCCGTTTACATGGCCTCAGTGGTCCTTTAAACCAATGAAAGGAAAATATTCAAATGTATATTTCCCCTTTTGCAAATTACGTGCATCATATCAATTTTGTTTTTAAAGCCAAAATGCATCCAAGCATCTGACTTGAAATGTGATGGAGCTGCGAGG